GCTCATCTGCCCCAGGCACACCAGCTGGAGTGCTGCTTCTTTGTAACTCATCACCATGGCAGAGGCTAAAGACTAAAGGACAGTTGGCCCATGGACACTTAAAACCCTTTCTGAGAAGGAAAGGCATGGCCAACAGGAGGTCATTACAGAGTGGGTCCTTTTAGAGGTCATTGTCTCAGGGGTAACAGGATCATCAACACAGAATCCGCTTGTAATGTGACCTGAATCAGTATCAGGGATCAGTGAGAGATGTAGGGGGGGGCTGGGATGGATTGAGACAGGTGGACACATGGGCACAGTGACTAGGACTTACCAGAAAGGAGGAAAGGAAGATGAAAGAGACGAAGTAGAAGTAGGCAAAGTCGCTCCCACACTCACTGGCATTGGCGTGCTCGTCACAGGCCTGGTTGCTGAGACAAGACGGCATGATCTCATGCCAGGCCTCCCCAGTGGCACTCCTGAGAAGAAGGGCAGAGCCATGAGACCCACAAAGGAAGGCCCAGGCCAGCCTGAGAAGAAATCTCAGAAGAGCTGGCTCAAGTGCATAACCTCCCTGGGCTCCCTCCCACAGAGAAACCACTCATATGTAATGTCTAGGTAAGAAATGCCTATTTCTTAAAAAGAATCCTCTGGCATTAGGTTTTCAAACTGATCATTAACTTGGAAAGAATTATTTATTGAAAACAAGGCACTGCACCAAAAGTCAGCACTATGGTGAGCGCCCCTTCATGGACCTCTGGCACCTCGAAGCCAACACAGCCCTTCCTGGCCTCCCTCACCCAGCACGTGCCATCCCAGCCTTCCCTGATTCAAGAAATGGGGGCTCCATCCCGTTTCTTAGGCCAAATATACTGCAGGCATCCCTGCCTCCATTCCTTCTCACCAGCTTCATCAGCTCATCTACCTTCAAAAACCAGCTAGACTCTTACCACTTCTCAGCACCCTGGGCTAAGCAACCACCACCTCCCCTGAGCTGCTGCAATAGCTTCCTCACGGATCTTCCTGCTCTGCCCCACCCAACAGCCAAGTGGGTCCACTACACACAGGTGAGATCAGGTCACTTTTCCTCTCAATGACCCCTCACTCACTGCAAAAGCCAACATTCACACAACTGCCCACAGCTCTGTGAAACTCGCAGCCTGCTCTTTCCCCGTGGTCTCTGCTCAGTCCACTCCAGCCACACCAGCGTCTGCTGTTTCCTGAACACACCAAGAACAGCCCCACCAGCCTGAGTGGCCACCCTGGAGGACCTTTTTTCATGGACTTCTGTCCCTGGATGTGCGGCCAGCACAAGGGCCAGATGTGCACTACACTTGCAGGCAGACCAGAGGCCTGGACCCCCCCGCTTACACTGGGTGTGCTTGCATGGCCAGCTCTCGACACAAGTGGAGCCCACTTCCCATTAACAATGGCTAGGAGTAGGGGGCTTTTCCTGCAGGGTAGCTGTCCAATGCCAGTCCTGACTGATACTGGTGTTCATACGTGACACAGAGACCAGGGAGGAAAAGAGAACTTTGAGAACAAAGACTTAAA